TAGTTGTCAAAAGGTTTTACCAGCCCAGATTTCATACTGGTCTTCCAGAAATTTCAATAGTTATATCATCTCGGAAGTATCTCAGTCAGATGTGTTTTGTGGTGAAAGATTGGATAATCGGAGATCAAATCCTACAATTTACAACTAGTTTGTGATCCTTCAAAGATAGTTGATCTTGATTTTCTTTTTCTAATCTTGGTTTTCCTGAACTCAAATGGAAGTATGTGGTTTTAGTTAAACAGCGAAACTTTTGATTGCTTTAAATAGTTTATTGAACAGCTGCTGTGTGACAGGCATGTTAGATGCTTTGCTTATCTCATTCAATCTTAAATAAAAATAATTCTACATGTACAGTATACAATTTTTCTACTATGTGTTAGGTGTTGTTCACAGATAAATAAAATGGGTTCACTGCCTTTATGGAACCACAGTCTAATAGCAGAGGCTCAGTACAAGTGCATATTTGGGATAAAAGTATATAGTACAGTGTAAGGACAAACAACAGAAATAGAAAACACTAAGACCTTAAATAGATAAATGGGAAATGCATATACATAAATGGTCAATTCACAAAATAGGGAATTTAAATGCGTACTACGTATTTAGCTAATGTTCAAACTCAATAATGAAATGAAGACTAAAGAGAAATTATTTCCCATGTATCTAATTAGCCAGTTAGTTTAAAATACTAACTCCATTAACTCCAGGTAGAGTGAAATGAGCACTCATATATCCTGTTGGGGATCTAAATTAGGACAAAGATTTTGGAAAGTAATTTGTCAGAGTATTTTAAGTGTTCACATGACTAATTCAATTTTCTTTCCGGAAATTATAAGGAGATATTCCAGAAAACAACGATGTATGGAATAGCATTAAGGAAAGCAAATAAGGTACCCAAAATTCAAATATCTTTCATATACAAATACAATTGTACTTTGTATTACATTTATTTGTTTATGGGTGTTTCCTTTGTGCAGTGTGTTATGCTAGGAGTCGTAAGGATTATAAGGATGGATAATTCCTGATTTTTGCCATGAAGTTCACAATCTACTGTGTCATTCTTTTATTTATTAGCATAAATAGTTGAGAGATTGCTGTAATATAATAAGATTACAAGATCTTTCTGTAGATTCTGGGTCAGTTAGGCTTTTTGTGATTTTTTTTTGTT